ATTGTAGTGTTATTCAACAGCATTAATAGCCAATTTAATTTAATTTGACCAATTCATGCCATTAATCTACATTATTACAGTTAAAATTATAATTCCAATTCAAACAGAATAACCTATTGTCAACATAATTAAGGAGTGTGATTTATTTACAACTCTAAATATCTTCAAACTAAAGAAATATAAAGTTATTGGTGAAGAAAATCAGTCAGGATAACAGCAGACTGACTGCTCGTAAATTGAACCACAGGTCTGGACCACTCGTGAATTTTCTTTGTATCTGAAAAAAAATCTTAGAATACGAGAAAATTGGTGAATGCTATAAATTCTCCTAAATCACTCGTACGCACAACTTAAGAACAAATCTGTTCATACCAATGGTTCTTGCATGAGGCCCAGTGTTACTTACTTGGACTTGAACTGTGATACACAAACCAAATCAGATTCACATGTTAAAAAATAATTGAAATGACTCACTTTGACCTGCAGTCTGAACAGCTTTCAGGTTCAGGTTGAAGTTCACGTTTTTCCGAACAAGGAACGCCGCTTATTCAATATATAGTTCTTATTTAAATCAGCAACAAAGTTACTCTGTTGTGGCTAGTGGATAAATGCACACGTCTCTCATAAAGAAAGGACACTTCACCCACATTCATCAGCTATTAGTCACATTATTGATGTTAGTAAGATGGAGCAGGAGGAATAACTGATACTGATCCTCGTCATTCTTTCCAAATGCCACAAAGTACAACAAAGTTTAATCTATTAAAATGTTTAATAATCTTTTCACCTGTCCTGTCCGTCGTCCAAAGCATCCATGTTCCCAGTTTTTTATGTCTTTTGTCCAAATAAGGTCATCAGACGACTCAACTTGTGCAGGGCAGGTTTTGGTTTGTAATTTGTTGAAACTCTGCATACACCTATATTTAAAAAGAACCAAAGGGAAATACAGCAACATCAGTAAGTTGGACTCAGAGAAAGTCTTGATTTACTATTAGACAGACAACAGCTATAGGTTAATGTCATACTCACAGAATAATGTGGAAATTCAAGGCACTTTGAGCCAAAAATGGTAAGCTACAGGTAAACAAAAAGCCTAAATACAACTGTGGTGTCTGAAAGAATAACTGACTGATGTTAATGATTTACACAAAACTGCCATTTTTGTCCATTTTTCCTCCTCTTAGTAAAACTAAAGGAGCTATGTTCACTTACCAGTGAGGTCTGACTGCCTCTTTGTTAAACCTACAACAATCTGCAGTGCTACCAACTTTACTGGTTTCACTGAATAAAAAGGACAAAATTATCTAAAGATATCTGCTAAGAAATATTTGAACTGACTCAACCAGTAGTCCTCACCTGTGTGCAGAACAGGGGGTTTCTGGTCGAGTTCAGCACAAAACAAATGTCTATCACAGAGGTCTAAGCTCTCCATGTCAGACAGAAACACAATATTTGAGTTAATTATATGTGTTATGGCAATATTTATTTAACAAAGACAGAAATACGTGGTCCAAGTATGAAGGTACTCCGTGAGATGATCAGCTGAGTTTCACTCAGAACTTTGACTTTTTTTCTTGTTCCAGAAGCCTCTGATCTCATTCACCATTTTATC